CTTAAATTAAGAATTTATCTCCATCTTACAAGTAGAAACCGCGTATCCATCGAATCGATGAGGATTTCGTCTGAGCAGGTCGTTGAATATTCTACTCGATAAGTTCTCGGACGCTGGGATGTCACGATTCCTTTGATTTCCCGAAGAAAGTCCATTGTAAGACATTATAAATATTCATCAACGAACTAAACGTCCGAGCCACTTAACGGACAGCCACTCCGAGGGACTTCGGTGTATTCAATTAAAAGGAAGGGATTTAATAGTCGGCCAATTCAGGAATTGACGTACTTACTTATCCGAGGGAAAAGATCTCGCTGAAGAGATTAATCTCCCGCTTAAAGTAATTTGTTAGGATTTCGGTGAAGCAGCGTCTGATTGCAAATCGACCATAAACTTTGAAACCGCTTCTTGCTCGTCGTCCTGTCGCCTTTCCTCCGCTAATCCAACATTTAATCCTTGAAAGTGTGCTCAGATTGGAAGGAAAAAAGCCTGAGAACAGTAACTGATCCTGTTTTTTTTTGACAGTTCAAAGTATAATAAAATAACATTTGAAACATTAATTTCATTTCACATTGTAATACAAATGAAATCATGCAGAACATGGAATTTATCACAGTGTCACGTTAACATTGTTTGAACGTAATCGCGTTGTTGAAATGTTTAGTTCACGAGCAGAAAAAACTCGGTCAGTTCAATTTTTCATTGCCCGAGCTACCCGGCGGACGACGGTAAATCATAACTCACCTGAGCAGCGTTTGTAAAATACGATGAACTGTAAGGTTTCGTACTCGTTTCCTAATGCATAGTTGATGCTTTTTCTCCTCATCAGTAATTCATTTCGATCTTATTGGAAAGTTTTAAGATGAATCAATAAACATGTTGCATGAATAAAGATATACTGACTCCTATGTTAAAACGCTTGAAATAAAATTTTTAGTTGAGAAAGTAGGAAAGATTTATTAAATATAACTGAGACATTTTATGAACATTTTCTCGAGATCAAATTCATCTGTATTACTTTTAAAGTACTATGAAATGTATTGTTGAAAGTATGAAGTTTCCACTATTTCGTATCGCAATGAGGAACATTTTTCAATGCGGAAGCTGGTTTCGCGTAGTCGTAGCTGGTCGTCGCGGTGCGCACGGCTCTCGGTTGACAAGTCACGTTCGAACTTTGAAAAAGCTCTTCGCAAGCGGGGTATATCGTTGAAAAGAAAATACCACGGTCGGTAGGATACGCGGCGCGAATGCCTGAAAACTCGTAGCCGTCGACGTTTCGTTAACTTCGCGGATGGAATCGCGGGAATGGGCCGTGAGCGCGATATCGCCGCGGGTGGTTCGCACACTTTACTGAATTATTGTATCCCTTACGTAGCAGGACTTCGCGTGATTCTTCGCTCTTTTCATTTCGATTCCATCTTGGCTGCTTGCAACTTCGTAGACAGACTATCATTACCCAAAATGACCCGAGCTTATATTCATTAAATATTTAAAATTTGAAATACGTTTTCTTTTAGGAGACTGTGAATAATAATCAGACTAGCAATTTTTTATCACAAGGCGTACTTCATTAAGTTATTTTTGATCGCTATTAATTAGGAATATCTTTGAATCACGAAGGCTGATTGCCGTGAAAGACTTTCTGATTCCCGGACGTTTTTAGAATATCAACATGGAATTATGGAAGCACCAATAACGCGCAATCAAGTCGACGACTAACTCCGCGGGATTCTGAAAAATGTGAATATTAAAGGAGAGCTTCGAGGATCCTCTTGATTAAAGGCAACAGCGCGAGCATGATTTTCCTTTTCTCTTGTTGCCATTCTCCCAATGTTCTTTAACGGAGATATGAGAAACGTAGCTGCGACCATTGCGAAAACCGAGGGAATTGTTTCCACGTGAAACCGTGACGCGGAAATTCTTGCTCCGCTTTTTAAATCTGCGTTATAGCAGAGTTTAATACTGGGCAATGAAAATTCTAATTATTCGCATGTTTATTAAGAACGTGCAATTACAGCCACGTGTATACACGTGTGCATTAATGGTAAAAAATATACATAGATACAACTCACTAATAAACTAAATACACCAACAAAAACGTGCATATTACATATACGAGGAGTATAAGAATGTGAATATTTTTTATATTTTAAACACAGTGTATTTCTACTGTTTACATGTAGCTGTTAAATATTCATTACTTGTTCTGGCATATTTCAACGTGGCAGGTTTGCAAAATATCCAGTACACTAGAAATTTGCATTCTAGCAGTAACCAAAAAAAACAGGATAATACCCGAGTAAACAACAGTGGTGGTTATGGCACGGTGGTTGGATGATTTAGACAGAGACGCCCAGCTCAGGGGAATAAAAATTCATATCTTGGAAAAACAATTTACAGCTCGCGTGTTCTTTTTACTCTGCGCACGAATCGCGGTCGCTGGTTTAAAAATAAATTATGAATATGAATTATGCGGTTGGAGTATGTTTCGTTATTTGTGACTGCGTGGATATTATGTATTTAGGTGTATTGTAGATATAACTGTAAAAAATTCAATTAATAATACTTGTGACAATACGAAATCAGTTTATCATTGTAAATATTTAAAAAAGATAAACGTAATAATTATAAGTAGCTAAACATTGTCACTAATTAGACTCGAAATAATAATTTTTCCAACTATTGGACTTTAGCATTCTTATCTCCTCGGTGGTATTTGTGGTTTAAAAGCGTTTCCACATCGGTAAAGCTTGTAGTTTCCGACCGTAGTTCGATGCCTCTCCGCATTCCTCAAATACAGCGCAGGTTTACTGCACGTTTATTTAACAATAAGTCGGTAAGTCAGTACGTTCACTGACAGAACTTTTTAATTTAATTAACAACATGCGGACTTACATTCACTCCTCTTCTACGATTTATAATGAACTAAAAATATTAATATACTAAAAAATTTTATGTATATTTACATTTTCCTTGTATCAAAAGAATTGGACTGCAAGTAAATTAGAAGTTGTCACACGTATCCAACGAGAGGGTGGTTGGGTACAATTACAGTGAGTTTGAGGAGGAATCTCATTGAGGAGAACCGCGTCGTGTTCTTCTGGTTGAAAAAGTGGCGCCGATGCGACGGCTATGCCATTCGCACGAATCTCGCGTCGCGCTTCTCCTCAAGAATTTTCCCTCAGTTTCCGTTCCACCCTCACGTGCTTTGCATCCGACTCTGCGTTCGTCTCGCGATTTTTAAACTCGACGAATTTTTTAATCATTGTTCGTCGTTTCGAATCATCTTTTATTCACTGCATACATTCACTTCTTGAAGGCGTGTGAATTCGTGAAAGTGATCGATCTTTATGTAAAATGAGTATCTTTTTTAATATCGTTTATTCTTATACATTACGTTGCAGTCTTTACATTTTCTGAACATTCAGTCTTCCTATAAGTATTAAAATCTTTTTACACTTAGTTTTCTTTAGTCGTTGAAAGATGTTCGTAAGTTTTGAAGTAAAATACTGGGATATCGGATTAAAGGAAGAAGAAAGTGGGATAGGCTTGTTAAAAAGTATGAATCGCTGATTAGCTGAACGCGAACTGCGCAAGTAATAAGTATCGGATAATCGAAAGTTCGATTCGGAGTACTATTCTTTGTTTTGAAGTCGCTACATGAGAATCAGATTCTGATTTCACAGAAAAGTATTATTCTTACTGTACTAGTAATAAGACACAAAAAAGTCCTTTGCAATTTCCTCCTAACTCTATTCGTTAAGAAGTATTTGACGATTGACGAAATAATTAATCGATTACTCCTGAATTGTTCGAGATAGAAAAAAATTATATACGACCTTTTTTGTAGGTAATACCAGTACCTACAACTTTTATTTAAAGTATCTCTCGAAATTTTGAGAACAAGATTTTTAATTTTCCAGGATTCCGTCAGATTCTTCGAAATTTTCGTTTATTGCAAATAACTGTTTACTTGTCAAAATATTTGAAACGAAAATTGTAAATACTGTTGAAAGCTAAAAGTTTTATGGAAAATATTTTTCACTAGCGTCAATAGTTGAGTATTTTACAATAAACTGTTTTTTCGTTTTTTGTTAAATACTCGTAAACTATTGACGCTAGTGAAAAATGCTTCCGACAAAACTCATAGTTTTAGTTGTCAGCTACAAATAAGGTCGTATGGAATTTCTCCATAGGTCCAACGGTTTATGAATATTCGAGGAAAAACGAAAATTTTTGCCAAAAGTTTGCTGCGGCCGGATTTTGTCAATCCCAATAAAATGTTGATTAATGTCATTTAACTCGTTAAATACTAAAGTTAGAAGAAAAATACATATTCTAAGATATTACTAAGTAAATAGACATTTAAAAAATGAAATGTTCAACATGGGGTTAATCGATGATTGATGACTCCAGTTGACAGGGAATGGTTTTTCTAGAAATCGATTTGGTTTTCAATTAACGTGCTCGGTGAAACTTTGCTAACTCCGTGAAAAATAGTACGGAACGAAGTTACAAATTGTTCCAACCTTGTCATTGTTCACGTTGACATATCGACAAGTTCCGCCGCGTCGAGGAAGTTTTCAACATGCTGAAGTTTCGCGCGTCGGGCCAACGAAAGTGCAGTTACACGGTGAGAATCTTAAGCACCGGACTAGTATTTAACGACCAGATTTCGATCAAATGTACTCGTACCTTTCACACGTCCATCAAATAATCCGAACTACTGAAATCCAATAAAACCAGAATTATCCATTTTAAAAGGGACATAATTTACAATTTACATGACAACGTAATTAATAATGTGTTAATTACAGAAATGAATGATTGTATGATATTAAAACTCAGAATGTATGGCTGTAAATAGCAATTGTATTTTATAAACTATATTTGAAAAATTGTATGCGTGGCATTGTGTATTAAAAAAACAATTAGGGCGTAAAACACAAGGTTCGAAAATTGCATTTTAATCGGGGAACAAATTTGAATTTTCGTTGCAGGTTAATCCAGGCAGTAAAGCGGCTCAGCAGGGGGTGAGGGAGGGTGATTTAATTAGCAGCATAAATGGAAGAAGTACCAGAGATTTAACGAACAGCGAGGCGCATGCACTCTTACGAAACTCCGGGGAACAATTGAAGCTCGGCTTGAATCAGTAAGTATTTTAATAGCTATTTATCTATATAGAAACTTCATTGTTCACTTTATAATTAGTTTCATTTGTTATATTTTCGTTATATTTACCTATAAGGTAGAAACGATCCAATAATATCTGGAGACGGCGTAGGGCATAAGATATACTAAAAATCTACTTTTCTTTTCGTTACAGGGAAAATATCAGCTCTCCGAAAAGACGAATTTATAGAAGCAGTTTGCAGGAAAACACAACCACCGAAATTCTTAGCAGTGAGTTCATTTGTTATTTCTTTCCTTTATAAATATCTCCTGGTGTACATAATTCGTTTCACAAATGTAAATGATTCTAAAATTGCTTATTGTTAGAGTCTCTATGTTAATATTCTAAAAGCTAGTATTTCTTCAATATAGACTATTCCTTCTCATTAAATTAAAATGTACTAATTGGTAAATTCTGCTATTCTAACTTTTTTAATTTTGTTATACATTGGAACATCGGATTTTTTGTGTTACAGAGACAACGACAACGAAAACTAGCAGCACATCAAATACCCGCGTTATAACGACAGATTCGAAGAAGAGCGACACAAGTGAGTACTTTTCACTCCACTCGATTGCATGCTTTTAAAAACTGCATGCATATTCAATACGTATTAAAGAAAAAAAAAGGGCTTACGGTTAAAAATAGATTTCACTCGGGAACATAAACCGTACCCTTTCTTTGTATAATTCTCAATTCCCAAAAGACGTGTTTCTCGTGATCGCGTTTCACCGGCTAACAGGCTATCAATCATCACGGGCAATTAATCGAGCAATTTCGTTAATTGATTGTGCGTCCTATCATTACGATCTCGATGCGGCACCCACGAACAGCGTAACGTAACGTGTCGACACACGCGTCACGTGTAGAAAAAGGGCGGTTCGCCAAACGTAAGTAGGCTGAATCGTTCAAATCTGAGACAACGAGGCATCGCGCGTAGGTCGTCTAATAATAGTAGTTTTAATCCTTAATCAAGACTTGCTCACACTTCACGCTCATAAAGGTCTCTCATTAAGATCTATTATAATCATATTAAAGATATAATAGAATCATTATCATCATAAGTGTCACTACCTATTATTTCGTCAGCCTGTATTTTTTATTCTGAAAGTGCATTTCTCTGACGATTGTGGCATTCCTTCTCGTCTCTTTCTACAAGATTCCGTTACTCATCTCATTGTGAGTATTTCTCGACCCGTCACTTTGCAAATCGTCAACAACACTTGGTTTCTTGCTCCGATCCACATCGCCGGATTCTTTCCCTGCGAATCGGCGTCTTGTCACGCGACGATGCTCAGGCGAGCAGGACGTACCCACGGTTCACTTATGACAGCGATGACGAACCTTGTCTAAAAAATTTTTCCGACTCTATGGAAGGGCCAATAGTTGAAAAGGGATGAAGTATCCATTCTTTCATCCGCGGGTAGTAAACTGGCATAGAAGTCAAGGTCGGAGAGAAAATTAGAACTACGGATAAGAACCGTAAATGATTCCCGGCTTCGACTTATGGCATACCTAATTCATATTCCGTGCGTACGTGCACGCTCGCGACCCATACGCGCTCGATCTCGGTCATAAGAACGATCAAGGTGCACCTGCCACCACAGACATAGCTTTCGTTTGTGTTTTCACGACGATGCCGCACCCTCCTTCACTTAGAAGACGCCCTGGAACGTGACCCTCTTCCTTCTTCTCGAACCGGCACTCTGTCAGTCCTCGAATACGCTTCGTCGTGGTGCGCTGACAAAACCGTGTCAAATCAGTCTTGTTCCTTCGTTTTGTTTCGATTCTGAAACGTGTTTCACTGTTCAATTGACACGCGTGTGAAGACGAGGTGAGGAAGTCGTAGATTGTATCTACGATTTGCATACTGGAGATTGACAAATATCCAATGGACAAATAGATAATATAACCCTATAAGACTACGTATTCAAGATCGCTCATATTATTTCAATTCTGAGGTTCGAATCATTTCTCTAACAATTGAAATAATCTTTGGAAAATTCAAGTGACAGATACTAACAGACATCTGGTTTCATTGAATTGAATTTCAAATAAGCGAGAAAGTGCAGAAAGGAAATTGTGTGTACAAATACAAAAGCGAAATAGAATTCACCAGCTTCGAATGAGTTATTGCAAATTTAGATCTGTTACAAGTACAAGGACGTGTTGGAGATCCGTAATTCGGATTCGTAATGTACCAGAATAATTAATCCATTGAAGCCGCGCCAATATGCGATATAGAGAAGCAGAATTTTGCGCGAACTGCGGCGGATACCTATATAGTTTCGATAATTAACGTGGAACGCAAAGCAAGAGATTGAACAAACGGTAGTCTAGTATATCATGAAACCGTTCGTGTAACTTTCGCGATGCTGAAACGCATTACGCAGCCAAATGACGTAATTCAAACCGGAACCGTTCGATTTATCGTTGATTGAAAACGGATACATGTGCTTCTTTGATCACAAAGCCCTCTGATGCGACTTGGACCTTAATGCCGATTTCTGTGCAAAACGAGAAATGTACAATAATGAAAAAAACGTGTGCTTACGATGAAGAAATAGCAGAATTAAATAAGGACTACAAATTAATATAGAATTAAAAAATCGAATAAGGTAGTAGTGAATTAAAAAGTAATTGAATAAAAATCGAAATAAATGAAATAAAGAACAATGCACTTTTGACAAAATAAAGAAATTTATAAGATAAAATTCTTCTTATTCTCCAAACGTATTAAAAATGAAATTCTTCGATTGTTCACGATGTCTGAGCAAAATAAGAAAGCCAAAAGTCTCGTCAATCGAGACCACAGACCCTTTGGTCACCACAAAGCGGCCTGTGAACCGTGCACGTCGATCAGAATTGAAGTTCGCGAATTCGGGGTCACGATTCATGACGATGGTGCGTTCGTTACGCGCTACGTGGAAACGTGAGCCGAGAGAATTCTCAGCGAGGCCGGAGGCGCGTCGAAAATTGAAGAAATTGAAGCAGGTAAGGAAAAGGGGCAAAGGAAACGGATTGCACGGTTCCAAGCCGAGGGACACGAGGAGGGACGACGACGTGACATTCACGAGGGAGACTGCGAGGTCGGAAATTCCGAAGGCAAACGTCGAAGCCGGGTTAGTTAACGGCCGGTGGAAAGAAAACGGAAGCGGAAGGAGCACGCTCAGTCGGCGGGAGCAGCTCGAGCGTGAATACTACGAACAGCTGGAAGCGGTGAAGTTTCTGATCGAGCCGCCGGCTTGCTTCAGGAGCGACGAGACCAGACAGAACTTGGAGAACAAGCTAAACACGTTGGACTTTAGGAGGATGAATACCGTCGCCATACCGTGCGGCGAGTTTTGCGATTCCGCCGAGCTTTTACGCAGCTGGGTTCGCGGGAGGACGAACCAGAACTTTGACCCAGATACCGGGGACGCGTCCTGTTCCGGGGGATTTCGCGAGGACGAGCCGTTCGATATCGAGCGGACCGTGATCGATTTGCTTGTCCGCGCGCCTATCCTGAAGTACAGCGGGCTTGAGAATGTTCGCAGCGTACTTTTTGACACTACGAAACCGAGCAAAACAGTACGATTCGAAGATGAACAGAACGATGAGAAAATATTTGACGAGGAAAATTTCGAACAGATGGATTTGAGTATTGAGGACGAAGAGAACAGCATAAAGAACGAAACGTTGAAAGGCATAGAAAGTTACGAAGGTGTTGAAGTCGTCCACGATGGAAATTACCAAATAGGAAACAGTAATCAGCGGCTGAGGAAGAATATTTGCTTTGATAAGAGTTCACTACGTGATGTCGCTGTAATTAATGGTACGTCTCATTTGCGTTTTTTTCATAATTAATACTGTTTAAAAATTAAGTCACATAACGAAATATAAGATAATTTAATTAAATTAAATGCGTTAATTATATCTACGAGAATTAATATAGTTCAGAATTTCGTAGATCTAGGTTTAATTGTGAAACAGCTGAGTAGCTCAATGACCTAAACCGTGCCAAATTACTTCTCGAAGAGGCTTTAGTCCCAGGTCAAGGGCTATTAAAGTACAGGCTCCACTTAGTTGGATTCGATAAAGATTCTAATCGATTCCTTAAATCTCGCGTGACGAATAAAATGGTTATTATCACGAGATACTATCGAAGAAGTGATTACCAGTATAGATTCATTACTAAACGAATGTTCGAATTCGTATTACATAATTGGATTGCGCGTGATTTAATAAGATTAAAAGGTATCGTACGCAGCCACTATAAACAATGCTATTTATGAAATATTGATCTTCATTAATTAAATGACATCGTTCTACCGCAAATTATTCCTTTAGGAATAATCCACAGGAATTAGTGTTTCCAACTAGGAAATACGATTAGAACAATACGATTATATCTTTGTTACGCGCTCTCGCCATTACGTCCTTTATTACGAAACTTGATAATATTATTTGATAAATTCATACGTTAACTGGATACATTACAATTTATATGCTTTATATTATGCAGATACATATGTATAAACTCCGTGTATCTACTATTGCATCGTTCATATTAATTCCTTTTTTATTCTGAATTAATGTACTTTATGATATTCAAAATATTTATTACTAACATTGTAAGATATGAGTAATGTAATTTTTGCTGACATGATATAAGAAATTGCTAGATTAACAGAGTACCATTAGAGGATAATAGACATAAATAAATATGGGATCAACGGGTTCGTGTCAATCCCGCCAATAACTTACGTGACAGTGCAAAATGTGCCAGCGTTCAATTAGAAATATGAAGGTACTCCGATATCTTCGAAACAGAATCAATAAAGTAAGAGTGCTTCCAAGCTTCTAAAAATGGTCTGCTTTCACGTCGGAATGGAGAACGTTATTAGAACAGATATCTTAATTACAGTAAAACAGTACAAAATAGATATTGTACATTTATTATCACAACTATTAGATTAAACTTATTATTTGATCGTTCGGTGTTTTTCCTATTCTGTGACAATATGCTTTTCCTCGAAAGAAAAATGCAAAGCAAATACATTAAAACAATATAATAAATTGAATATTATAGAATATGTTAGTAACATATGGACAGAATATAATTAGAATTTTCAGGAAATGTCACGTTACAAGCATTAAGGGAAATTGATAGACACAAATGGTAGCTTTATAAACTCCTTGATTTGGTTTGCGGTTACGAGCGTCGAACAAACTCGACGTAGAAACGCGTTAACGCGAATTCGATGGATGGGTGCGGCAGTCATGGCCCGAAGGGGCCAAGCCCGCATTTCCGCAGCCCCGGTCTTCCATCCTTCGTCCTTTGCGTTCCCGGTGCTTAGAAGCCGAACCCTTGCCAGGGATCCCTACGATCTTGTTACCGCTTCGATTACGTCATTAATCGACCAGACTTACTTTATTGTTGTGCAATTCCTTAAGAATCGTTCCTTCCTTTCATGCTTTATTAATCTCCTGTAATTTTGCTTGTAATCTTCCGTGTAATTTTATTCCGTCATCCTTGTATCATTTTGCTATCTTTAAATCGTAGAAAGTAGTATGAAATTATTTTATTTGTTTTTCATGTTTTGTTGAATGTATATAAGCTATAACAATGATAAAATTGAACAGCAGGAATGGAAGGAAAATTGTTATTTAAATTCGGTACGTCGTGGAAAAAGCGAAAATATTTGTTGAACGATATTATTTGCGATTAATTTCGTTCTGGTGTTAGAAACTGAGAACCTGCGCTGAACATCGAGTATTTTTTGTTTTATACATCCGCTACACTCGTCAAACGTCAAAAAAATGCTTGTAAAGCTTACGCAGATAAACGCAGTCAACTTCGCCATGCTGCCTAAAAAAAATCAATCTGAAAAATTCTATTTTTCTGCACGTGTTGTTTTTCGAATTATCGTTTGCTGCGAGTTCAGAATCGTCGCCAACATGAACTGTTCATGTCCCGTATTCGCAAATTTTGATTCTACATATAACGTCGCAAGTCCAGTTCGTCGTTGACGCCACTCGAGTGTTTTGCATTCTGTCATCGAATGAACTGTGCTTCCTTTGGGTCTAACAAAAGCCGCTCCCACTTTTATAATTGTCGCTGTTGTCCTTCACTCTTCAATAATTTCGCGTTAGCGAATCTCATCAACGGGCCAATTACGTAATTAAGAAGCGCAATATGTATCACTGTCCGACCGTCGTTTTTATCCAAGCTTGAGCGAACACGACGGAAGAGATTTACTATATTTATATTGCACTTTTTTAAATTGAAGAATAATATTGAAGAAAAATTTATATTCAGTGGTATTATAATACTATGTGAATCTACGATTTTTATATGGACTATTCAGGTTCTATTAATTGTAAGATGAAATTAAGTAAATATTAAATTTCGAACGTGATTATGATCGCACAAGGAATGGACTCGTTCGCTCTTCTACACGCCCGGCGATATGTAAATCAATATTGTCCGCGAGAACTGTTGTGTCTGAACCCCGGGGAGTCGTTGCATTATATCTCGACAAGGGAGGAGTTGTGCGACCCTTTTGATATCTCGAGAAGCAAAACCTAATTAGGGAGTCGTTCACCTTTGAGCAACAAAGAGAACGTCGAGACATCAAAATTACTCTCTTTTCTTGTCGCGATGTCTCATTTCCCCAACATCATACAATTTCTCACGTTCATTCCGCCGACCTCTTCTACCAAATATTCATAAATACGAAGTCATTTTCTAAATGATCATATTCTTCCGTGCATCAATAATAATGTACATAGAACTTTTTATACAGATCAGAAATAGAATTCTGAAATTAAAGAAAAAACAAAGTTTTTGATCTCAAAATGAGAAGTATTCGCTGCCTTTTCTCATTTCAAAAAGCTTCTTAGTTGTGAAAGTCATCACGTGGAATACAATTTCCTCAAAGCATAAGAAGCAGAATTTTAATTTTATTTCTCGGCAAACTGCCTCGGCGTAGCGGAGGCTAATAGCCTTTTGCAAAGTAAAATACTTCAACGTGTAGTACAATTTTATTGCATTCAACGTTCCAACCGTTTTTATGTTTCCGATGATTAAAACAAATGTTATGCAAAAGATTGAGAAATACTGACGCTAATTTTAAACATTAGGTTCTTGTTACTGCGAATCCTACAATACTTAATTGTAACTTGTTAAATTCATCATGATAATCTATTACTGTCATGCGTTGCACTTTTGCGTCATATTAACACGTTTAAATTTTGTCATCCATAAATGTTTACATAGTGTTACACAGTTACGTGGTGTTACCAGAAATTGGTATCGAATTAGCTTGTACAGGTGAAAAGGGCAGTGGACTGAAAATCGAACGAGAACCGTTCGGTCTCCATACAAACAGTTCCGGATCGAACATGTCGGGCGTGTGTCACGCGTGATGTAATGAAAAGTGTGGAAAATGGATGGGTGTGCTCAGGATAGTAGTCGTTTCTGGCGGCATTGTTTACTCGGAAGGAAGTTCAACTCGGAAGTGGCACTATTCATGAGGTCCCGGTGCGACGCGCGCAGGAGAGGGTGTGCACACGCACCTCGTCTACCGATGTGTATCAGAAATCTCGACAAAGGGTTACTGAAGCGAGTGTTAGTGTCGCGGACGGACAACGCGAGGTTGATACGTGTATGTAACAACGTGTACACGCGCATACGTTTCAGGTAAACGTAAAAAAAACGTCATTCGGGGGAACGGCTGCGCAAGCGTAAGTCGAAATTGGGTACGCCGTGCGTTCCCGGTTGATTTACAACAGCGTTTCTCAAATTCTTTTCTCCGCTTCGTTTGAATATTCAAGTGGAGATATCAAAGAATAGAATGTAGAATTTGATCAATCCAATAATTATTAGTTCTGTTGCACATCGGATTTTTCACAGTAGACAATTTTCATTTCTAATTGCCTCTTTAATCTCAGTAATTTGAATCTGATCAGTGGAACGTGTAATTGGGTAATCAGAGGGACAGTTTGAGAGACTCTGATTCTGTAAGCATGTAGGTATATGTATAAACAACAGAAGTTAGCGATACATGAGCGAGCATAGGACTGCGTGGGTGGGGACGCGAGCGTGTTTCACGGGTGGCGGATCTGTTCGCGCTCTCAGTCCATTCCCGCGATTCATGGACCCTACAGGCCATGCCGCTGATTTGTGGCTCGTTGACGTTTAATTCGAAATTCATAAGCGGCTGTCGACGGCGAACGGACACGCGTGTCTAGCTCGGTCGTTCACGGGTCTCGTGCGCACTAGGTCAGGCGTCGCTACTTTAGCCACCGTTTTAAACCGAAGCTTAAATCGAGTACTTTCCAAAAAATCCGAGAATCACGTCTACTCTTACTCGGGAGTTAATGATCAATACATGCTATGAAGCATTTGCTTGCACTTCGGCTCTGCTCGTACTTTAACTATGATCGGTTAGTGCAATAGTGTCGTGTTTCTTTTTCAGATGACACAAAACCTGATCAGAGCTACGCTAATCAAAACGGTGGTCCGAAGAGTTCCTTGATCCAGCAGCGGGACGAGACTAAAAAGAGTAAGAATATTTGTTTCAATTATTTGTTCCTCTTAATCGGTAGACGATATTACCTTGGAATGCTGTTCTGACAAATGAGTCACGTTTGCTGCATGATCGCAAAACAACGTCAGTCTACCTTTTCTCTTTCATCGTGCACTCTTGCATTTGCTGGTCTCATGGGGAACGGGCGGTTAGCCCTCTTTTATAAAACTAACATCATACAGAAGTCACAAATTTTGATACGCGACATTATCGAATTAGCACAATGGTATTGTTATTGAAAATCACGAGTCAAACAACAGCGCGCGATTACAAACTAGAAAATAAGAAAAATGGAATACCGACGGATTTGTTTAGGACTTTTGGCGGAGATAATTTCTAAACATTGAATGGATATATCAAAGGAAGATTGAACTGGCACGCTAACAGTGCATAGTAAATAAATTTCAATGCAGTATTAAGTATTTATAGAATATGAAGATACACAATAGGATCATCTCTTAATCTGATTATAACGATGCTAAACCTGTAGGTTTCCCATTGATCTGCTTCACTTATTTTGCGAGTATTGTCAAAGTTTTCTCATCATCGATTTTTCCATTAGAGTTCTATCGTAAAATAAAATGCGAGTATTTTCTCTCCGCCGTTTTATGTCGGTACACTTTGATCCTGAAGGAAATCACGCGGAGAGACGACTTTCAGAGAGGGAGAATACGTCCTCGACAGCAACGTCGTTGGGGGTGGGGGGGAGTACGAATGCTTTAATCCCTCTTGCGTAAAATCGGAACCGCGTTTTACGGGACTTTAAAAAAGAAAGGAAAAAGAGAAACTCTGTCCGATTGTGCGATCCCGTAGGATCTTGCGAATCTTTGGAGTACGCGACAGATACAGAAGAGATTAGTATGCCGCACGGTGCGCGGAACCGCAGAAGTCGGAAGGGTCGAAATCGAAGGCGCTTTCAACGGCCGCCGACCCCGGAGAGGGCTGCGAGGGACGACGATGGCGTCGCAAGAAACCCTGAGACCATCGAGGAACTCGACGAGACTCTCGACGAGCCTTCGACCAGCAAGACGAACGACTCAGCGACGGAGAATCCCGTACGCAGTGACGAAACTTCAGAAGAAATTACTCAAAATGAACTCGACCCGAACACGAAGAAAAATGTGGGCAACGAAACTATACCACGGGAAAGTATATCACAATCTTGTTCGTATATCAAGGAAGAGAGGTGTAGGATCAAGAAAGGCACGGTGGAGCCCAGTATAAAGGTCCTGGAGATCACTACTATTAGTAGCCTGCCGTTAGAGGCTGAAATTGATCACATCCCGGGAGTCGGTATCCTGGAGACGGGCTGCAGGGACAAAACACCAGAGAACGAGGGGATCGTGACGATTTCCGAACCCATGGAATTGCTTGCTTCATCCGTGAAGGAATATCAACAACAAACCGAAGTGGGAACTTTGACTGGGAGCAACGAGAGACTGCAAATACGCGATGTCAGCGACAGTGAATTGTTCGAAACTGACAAAACCGCGAGACCGGTGATCGTCGAGATGGAATCGGACTCAGAAGCGGTAACGGATCGATTAGAATCGGATTCTGATACAGAAATTGATACGTCCAAGCGTTCTTCGGAGACGAGACACGTTTGGGACACGGTGATGCCGCGCGAGATGGAGAACAAACTGCGTAGTTTTATCGAGGGTTTAAAATTACCGAGCTACGCGGAGGAACAGCGTGGATCGACGGACCAAAGAAACAGTACGTCGTACAAGAAGGTGAGAAAACGTGCGGCGTATGAAGCAACGACGAGCTACGCGCACACGCAAGCGGCCAACCGGTTGTTGGACATCATTCAAGAGGAGGGCGAGAAGCTATCCGAAGACGAAGAACAGCACATCAGGGATTTCATTAACGAGGAGATCGGCAAGTATCGGAGGGACGAACGTTCACGTTCCAATCGCGGGAACTCGATGGAGGCAGCGAGGGAAATAAGTGCTGCGACTCACGAGGTGACGATAAATGTGATTAACGTGGATGAAGAAACGGAGCAAACGGTTTTGTCGACAGGCGAGGCTCAACGAAGCATGGAATCGGAAATAGTGGAAACGAAACAAGTTTTGGACTCGAGCAGTGAAGATGACACTGTGCCGAAGATAGATTTAAGAGAAGAAGAATTAAAATTGGAGAAATGTGAAGTTGAAATAAAACCAGAGGAGAAAAGTACGGAGGCTAATATTGACAAAGAATGTAGACAAGATAACGTGAAACAGGAACAGTCAGAGGGAGATATGGAAGCAAATGAATTAAAGTTAATGAAAAGTGATATTGGAAAAGAAACGAAAGAGGAGAATACAGATACTAATACCAAAGATGAACGTGAACAAAGCGATACTTCGAAACGAAAAGAATCAGAGGAGCATATAAATACTATTGACACAAATAGTGGGGTGACATTTCAAGATACACACACTGGAGCATTAGTAGCAAATAACGATGCCGTAAATATAGACGAATCAGTGAGAAATGAAGATATAGAGAAAGCGATGAGTGCGTCAACAGAGGAAAGGACTGATAAACTTGTAAGTAACATCGAAGATGAGAAAACAGAGGATCAGACATCTGATGAAGACGTGGCAGATGACGAAGAAAAGAAAATCTCGGAAACCTCTAATGCAGAATCAAAAGAATCAAACAGTCAATTAAACACAAGTAATAACAATTTAGAGAACGTAATAACCAAAGACTCTATTGAATTCTCCGAGAAGTCTGAACAATCGTCGACCGGAGAAAATGAAATAGAGTCGACAGACGTTCACCAATCACCCATAGGAAATGCACAAAGGGAAGGCGAAGGTTCATCTACGAAATCTTGTTCCACAGAGGATGGGACAAAAATCCAATCTGGAGTTAACAATGTTACATCGTCAAAGGGGAAACCTCGTCCCCCAACACCGCCAAGGAGATCGTCCAGCCTTTCAGACGATTTTCACGAGAAAGCGTGCGTCTATTCCCGCGTCTACGACTATCACCCGTCAACCCCGCCGTTTCGTCGAAAAGGGGAAATGCAAGATCCTGAAAGTCCTCCGAGTCGTCCACCGCTTCCAAGAGAAACTTTCGAGGTATTCGAAGAACGATCAGAAGAAGACGCGTCTCGGAGTAAGAACATCGACATTCTAAGAACTTTATTAACGATAATAACGCGCGGTGACGCGACCGTCGAAAATATTCGCGACGCACTAAGTAAAGTGGACAGGCTATCTCTACCCGAAAACGTTCGCGGCATTCTCGATGATCTAAGGGCCCGCCGGGGCAAGCGAGTCCGTTTCGAAGATGACAACATTGCCGAATTGCGCAATTATGTTGAGAACGGCGTCGATCTTGGCATGGGAGCTGGCTCGGAAATAACGCGTGACCGTGGGGGTCGAAAGCCACGCGAAAAGTCAACGCCAATGAAAACTGATTCACCGGTAGAGAGGATAATAAAAGTGGTCGTGGAGTCCACCAATGAACCGATTAAAACGAAATTGCCTGATGAATCTAGGAAAAGAAAGCAAGAGACGAAGAAAGAGAAGAAATCTGCGGGAGATGAACTGGGATCGAAACAGATGCACTCGCGACATCAGAAGAAAATTACTAAGAGCGAAACGTCGAGTATGAAGAAAGTAGAGACGCAGGAGAAAACATCGGGCACGTGTGATTTCAAAACGCATAGCAAAAGGGTCGAGACATCGAAAGACACGAGGGAATTGACGACGAGCGAGGAGGAATTCGAAGAGATATACAAGTGTTCCAGTTCGCGGGACAACCACGCGTACTCTTACGAGATTACCATAGACGATGGTCGAACGAAAGAACGTGACAGCCCTTCCGGGATATTCGAATCGTTATTAAACGTCGAGCGTTCTGCGGATAAAGAAATGCCCGAGGCGGGCGACTATCAGGGCCAGGACTCGTCTAGCAGCGGGACTACTCTGAGCACGGTGAAATATAATCCGATGGAAGCGTGGCAGGCGGATATTTACTCGATAATAGCGGAAGAGGCAAGGAAGAGCAGACTTAGGCGGCAGTCGAAGAGAGAAATCGAATCGTCGAGCTTGAAAAGCCGGCTTCCTCTCCTGAAAGGGGACGAATCGTTGCGCGACGATGTAAACGGGTGCGAGGTTCCGGTGACGCCGGAACCTATACCCTATTCGCCCGTCGAGGACTTGTACTATGTGCCGGCAGAGAGCGGCGCGAGTTACGCGAGAAGTCCCACGGATAAAGGTGAGACCGGACCGGTGCCGCTGAAGGATCTATGCATAAAGAGAATCTTGTCGATGCCGTACGGGCTTCACGTGATTAACGAGATAACGGTGCCTAAATTTAACATCTTCGAGCGACTGCGTTCCATACCGAAGTTCGCTAACAATGTAACGAGCGGCGAGATTATAGGCGTACCATTAAACTTGCATGGCGTGAGCGAACGGCAGACTGAAACGGCTAGACTAACGACAGCTTCGCCAGGATCAAAGCGTCCTGACCGCCGCGAAACCACTGTTTCAGACCAAAATAAGCGATTAGCGCAGAAGGAACGATCCGCGGACGGCAATTTTCAAATCGAAGCGTCAAACTCGTGGCAGACGACTATGCCTAAGGGTAGTTCGGAAGCGTGGGTGGGCCTGTCCACTGCGAAGGATCCCAGGTTGCTCGTGTGTCTGTCGCCATCGCAGCAGAAAACCGTGATAAAAACGAGCGCGGACAATCTGCTGGATCTTCACAAGAAGTTCCTCAACAGGCACAGCTACTTCGACGAGGAACCACCGCCACGGATCTCTGTTCCCAAATACAGAGTAGAATTGCTGCCCACGACTGAACCCGAGAGTAAGCGCGAATCGAAAATCGACGTCAGAAAGTCGACTAATCGGTTGTTGGAGATTATCAAAGAGAATTCTAATAGCGGTAAAAGCAGCACATCGAGGCCTTCAAAAGTGGCGTTCGAGGAAACGATGAGCCACTCTGAAGACTCGCGATCCTCGCGAACGAACAAGACCGCCCCGTTTGACAAGGGTCAGGATCGTCTCAAGGCCACTCGTCTTTGCGACTGGTTGAGTTTAGCGAGACGCGCGCCCGACGACGCGGCGCGGCACGCGACACCGTCGCTCTCCGATGATTTATTAATAGAACCATCGAGTGAGAGAGAAAAGTTCGATAAGAGGATTCGTTCGAACGTCGCGAGAGAGCCAGCGGACGTAGAACACAGTAAACGGTCAACACCGAGCCACTTTATCAACACCGCTTTGATCGCCAGTTCGCCTGAAAGGGCCGATTCGGCACTGAGAAGTTCGACGCCGTTCAGCAAGAGTCCGATAACATTCAATAGCGCGATTATCGACAAATCGGTGGACACTTGCCCGGCCGGGAAACGGACGCCGCCTCGAAGGACGATCGATCCGCGTTACAACGTGAATCCGGCGTTGATCGACGACCGAGTCGAGCCAAAGCCGCAGCAGCGAGCGAAGAGGCGCGTCGTGAACGTCGACAGGTCGTGCATCGACACGACCAGCATATTCGATCAGAATCCACCTAGGAGCCACCTGGAGCCGCGCCGTTACAAGAACACGGACGAGCTGAAGCACGCAACGGCGTCCGGGATCATGCAGAATCTGAAGAAGCTTCAGGCCGAGAGTCAATTGCTGGAAGCCGACCGGCGAGAGTGCACCGTACCGGAGGAGTACTTCGCGCAACAGCTCAAGTACATCGAGCTGCTGGAGAATCAGCTGAAGAACGTGATACTAGCCGAGGAGGAGGAGCGCGAAGCGTTCGAGGAATTTCTCACACACGCGAAGCAACGGCCGAGCGAGAAACGGGTCACTGAAGTCGAGCCGAAACCGACGTTCAACGAGCCCTCCGATCGACCGCGTACGTTGCTAAAAACTAAAGAAAGTGTTCCGGGTGTCTCTGGAGATGATGACTCCCGGGTTGAGAGCCAGAGCTGGGAGGAGAAGTCCGCGAACGTGGAGAAAAATCACTCGGAGACGGTCAATAAACACGGTCACAGGGATTTCGTGAAGAAGGTGCATCGCGAGAATGGATTCCATGAGGAGGAATCGTGCGAGAAGATAGAGCGCGTGGAAAGGCGATCCGTGATCACTAAGAAAGGGGATGACGGTCTTCTCCAAACGAAAGATGCTTTATCTAGTGAAGTAACTGATGAAAAGAGCTGTGAAAAGACTACGGAGAAGGATAAAACGAAGAATTTGTCCAAGGAAAATACGTCGCCTTGCGAGTCGGATCTATGGAAGACCGGCCAGACCGAGACACCGTACGCGTCCGTCGCAGTGAACGGCGAAGCGTTTCGCCGACGAATGTACGACGAGTACGTGCACAAGGTTCTCGAACGGGAAGAACGGAAACACCAGAAAGTGGTAAAAATCAGTTCGCACGAAGATATAAAGACGGATAAGAAGAGAAGCGATATGAGCGCGGTCGAGAAGGAGTTCATCGAGAAAGCTAGGAACAGATTGAACAAGTTTGGTATCAAATTGGACGAGAGCGAGACGGAGAGCGACGGGAAGGATAACAAGAGAAGCGAACGGAACGAGGAAGAGAATATCGTGAAGGCGAAGTGTTTAATCGACGGGAAAGAGTTCCAAGATGCGAGAGAATTGCCGAAGCATCTGCAAGAATTCCTCAAAATGTCCACCGCCGATGACGACGACGGTGAGTCCCGCCGAGTTCGAGGATTGCTGTGTTACTCTCGTCGTGCTTTTGGATTCGCATTGATTGAGATTCTGGATGCTCGAGTGTTGAATTTTCGATTTCGAACGTGCGACCTGCGTGGATACTGGAATATTGGATAACAGCAACTAACGCACGCTCGTAGACGTTTTGTGATGGTTGTCATTTGATGTCTCTTGTTTGTCGTTCTTTTCACTAACGAGATTGAATGATTTTCTTGTCTTGTTCCTTGGTCGTATTCCTACTCGGAGCTTTCTTTTCACTGTGCGGTATGAGAATTGCAGTGAAGGTTTGTTAGATAGAAAATTATCGGTTTCCTGTTATGAAAGTTAGCTGTAATTACACTTCGAATTGTGAGATGTTAATTCTTGCAATCTGTAAGAAATTGAAAAAGGCTTTTGAACCATTCGAGTCTCATAAAACGTGATCAGAAAGGATTGGGTAGGATTGCACGTTGAATCGATAGATGAGCAGCGGATTGGTTTCTTGCCAATAAAGTAGAAATGCCCGGAGATAAGTTTGTTGGCCTTCTCGTGGTATAGGTCGTGGGTTATCGTTACAACTAGAACACAGAACATACATATGTACATATACAATGTTATAGAAATCTCGAAGTCTCTACCGTCGTAAATTTTTATGCGTTTCTTAGGTACCGCGTAAAATTTTACGTTGTTTTTATCTTCATGACATAGGAGCTTGGAAATGTCTATATTAAATACGGTGCCGTCGATATTACTACCTCCGCGTCTGTAAAAAATTTTTCATTAAAAGTAACGAAGAAAATTTAAAGAACGGCGCTTTAAATAGTTTCTCATTTTGCGTTTTCTATTAGTTTTATGCCGTTAAATTTTTTCCTTCTGTAACGTCACGTTTAAGGATTTATTTAGCTTAGAAAATAACGGGAATCAATGTTTTATCATAAACGTCTTCTGAAATAAAGAAAGACGACGTTCGCCCAGATATCAAGATCTAGATTATAGATACCCACTGGTCGCAATTTATTTTTCCCAGTAGAATCGGGTGAACCGGCCGAGGCCGGTCGGGTGGATTGCAACGCGTTCATGATTCATTCGAGAATGAGTACCTAAATATAGGAGCCGAAGAGAAATAGGCCAGTGCTCGTAGTTTCGTCGCGCGTCCAGCTCCGGAACTACCGCGCCGCGTCTCGATTTTGGCTATTTCCGACGAATTGCGACACAACCTGTGCGTCGTGTATCGCGTCCGTCCGTCGAACCACTTTTCGTCAGACCTTCACGCTTACCGTCACGCTTACCGTGGCTGGTCGGATTCCCAGTTTCACGCGAACGGAAATCAAAATAAATAGTCCAGATATTTTCTTGCTCGATAAGTAATTAATTAATTTATTTAATTAAGAGCTAATTAATCTTGACGTTCTATGCTTGAGATGCGAATATTTTATTATCATTCTTATTAGTTAAAAATAAACTTTCCAACGTCAGAAGTAAATCGATTAATATAGGACCATTTGGTGAAACAAGGATAATGATAATAATTAATAATAAAATAAAGTACCATTCAAATGGATTTAGAAACTGACCGTGTTTTTTATAATATTCCATCCACACTATACAACAATTTTCCTAAACCATATTTTCTTCATAACTGCTTAAAATGTAAGCATGTTTGTTTCCTGCTTCAGCTTACTAACATAATTTATGTGGAATGCTTGTAATAAATCTAAGTAATATTTCATTATTATTTTTTTTGGTTCGCCTCGGCATGCTTGTTTTAAAGGCTGCGGTTATGATTTTACTACGAAGGATAATGACTACGAGAGCGATCTCCTTCACGAGATTGACAGTGCTTTGAAATACGGCAAGGGATTTCTGATTGGTAAAGGTGCGTTTTACTTACGAACTGCTTTTTTTTAAAATATTCATATCTAGTTCAGTACACTGCATGCATCGAAATACTCACGCAGAAGTATCATTCCAATTTTTAATAAAAACAAGCCTTCATATAAACATTTGATAGATATTGAGATTCAAGATAAACACTGCACGGACACATTTAAACAATAGTCCAAATTTTTGTCAAAAACTGGCTGTAATACATTTTTCCATTAAATTGCTGATACGTCATGCATATCAAGAAGTGATTGATACTGCAATTCATGGAAATACTC